GAAATAATCCTCCCGAGTGAGAAAACCCACCTTCGCCATTTCGAGCTGCTGCAATTTGGGGGTTGTTACTGCACCATCATCCAGCCACGAACCACTGGGATTTATTTATTAACATAACACAGTCTGACCTCCCTCTCTCTCACACGGCCTCTTTAATCCCATCTGTCTCCTCACCACGTGCCCTGTCCTCTGTAGCCTCCAGGCCTTTGCTCGCACTGTCCCCTCCGCCGGACCTGCCCTTCCCTCCAGCTGCGGCTGTGTAGGAATGACCCACAGCCGTGCTCGGTTACCGTTGAGCACGTAACTGTCACTTCTCATTTAATTCTCAAAAGGGTCCTTCCAGGTCAGCTTATCAGAGCTTCACCTTGCAGTCTGAGAGAAAAGGGAGCGAGGCGAGCGACCCGGCCCTTCCTGCCAGCTCCAGGGCCCACACCCGCCCTCTCACTGTGGAAGCCCAGCCCCTACCTGTGTTTTCAAACAAATGAACTGCAAATTTATGGCCTCTGACCTCAACTAGGCCCTGCTGCTGCTTCCTGGTGGTCTATACGTTTCCCTGATTAGCTGCTGTTTTCTAGAGATTGGTTCAACCTTCTCCACCCTATTCGAGGTCCCCAAGAACAGCCTGGTTGACTCTCAGCCAGTCCCCACTAGAGTGGGATGCACAGGTGGTTAGAGCCGGTGCCCAGCCTGTATCACTTCATTTTTAAAAAATATTCTTGAAAAAGCAGTAGTTAATATTTCTTAAACACTTCACATCTGAACTGAGTTCTCACGCACCAGGCCATGAGGCTGACGATGTTCCGATCCCCATCCTACAGACAGGGAAACCGACACTGGCAAGCAGGAGCCTGAGGTCGCGGGCTTAGGAGTAGGGGATGAGGACAGGGTGCAGGGTCTTTCTTAATTTCAGCAGAAGGCACTGGCCTCCACTTTGTGAAAAAATAAGGGGCCTTAGGAGTGCAGCCCTCTCCTTTCGGCCCCTCCTGCCGAGACCACCCCCTGCCCCCAGGGCCATCAACTGAACTTGGGGCCGGGACCTGCCCACCCCTGTCGCCGCAGCACCTCTCAGACGCACCATCCACCCTCCAGCACAGACTGTTCTAGTAGCTCCCAGATGGTAAGAAGAGCCAGACGCCCCCTACCGCCAAACCCAGGGTCTTTCCCTCCCTTTCAGAGGCAAGGAGCATGAGGACGGCCACATGTCCTGCCCTCTTTGGCAGCCAGTGTGACCCATACCAGGTGAATCAGTGAGAAACAAATTGGCATAATTGTTGAGAGGTGAAATGTTTTATGGGGGGGGGGCAATTTGGCAGTTGTATCACAGTTTAAAATGAGCGCCTCAAAAGATCAGAAACATCATAAGTGGCCAAGAATAGGGGACCAACTGAGAAAATGGTGGCAGCCTCTTGTCACGACAGGGGGTCCATTTGTCATCTGTGGCGAATGTGTCTTGCTCTTGCTCTGTGAACCTATCTTGTCCTTCCTCAATAAACTTCGTTTTACACTAAAAAAAGAAAAAAAAACAGTGGCATTCACACAAGAGACTACCATGCAACTTTTAAAATGAATGTAGGGTTTTTTGTCCTGGTGAAAATTTCAAGATATAACATGTTAGATTTGAAAAAAAAAAAGGTAACCTACAGGAAAAAGTAGGCTGCCACTGGGCACAAAAGCCAGAAAATGAACATACTTCTCCATTTGTTTCTACCTGCTTGTGCCTATCTCTGAAAGGCCACAGAAGAAACTGGCAACTGAGCTCCAGAGGAAGCTGAGAGATTGTGCATCAGGGTGGTTTCTGGAACCTCGCAAAGTGTGAACCATATGAAGATTTTATATATGCAAAAAAATAACTTCAATATTTAAAAAGTCACATAAATAAAATAAAATTGGCATGCTCAATTTTGAAATTTTGCTGCTAGGGATGCATTCCACAGGAATGCCTGTGCAAATGGGCAAAAAAAAAAAAAAAATACACGTATATGCTCGTCCTCTGTAGCATGTTTAACATCAGTAAAACCCTGCACAGCTGCCCAACTGCGCGAGCACCGCGTGGCAGCCTGAGCAATGCCCCCACCCCTGGGTCTTATGCTTTTGTATTACCCTCCCAGCTGAGTGTGGGCTGGTAAGTTACCAGTAGCTTCTTGTAATGAACGAAATCTGGCCAAAGGGATGGGGTATCACTTCCGAGATGAGGATACAAAAACACTGCAGCTCCCACCTTGGGTACCCTCTCTCCCTTCTAGAGAAGATGGCTGCCACATCATGCACTGCCTTATTAAGAGGCCTACAGAGGTAAGAAACCGAGGGAGACCTCCAGCCACTAGCAAGCCAGGAACTGACGCTCTAGGCCCAGTCACCTGGGAAGAGCTGAATCCCACCAAGGAGCACGTGCATGAGCTTGGAAGCGGCCCCTCCCTTGTTGAGCCTTCGGATGAAAGCACAGCCCCAGCCAACAGCTTGACTGCGACCTTGAGAGACCTTGAGCCAGAGGCCCACAGCTAAGCCAAGCCTGGAGTCTTGACTCACAGCAACTGTGAGACAATAAATGCTTGTTGTTTTGAGCCATGGAGTGGTGGGGTTTGTTACACATCAACAGACAACTTACACAGACAGGATGGTTTGTGGAATCGGAATGCATGCATTTTAACTACCTGAGGCAATCATTTGAAGATGGGACATAGAGCCACGTGTAATGAGTGATGTAGACAGATGGCCACTACTTACGTGGGGCGGTGGGGAGGAAGCAAGTTAAAGAACAACATACAGAGACTGACCCCACATATAAAAAAAATTAAGGAACTAAATGTGTCTACAACCATATGCATGTAAATTCAAACATCAGACTGGTATATCTGCCTCTGGGGAAGAAAGTGGTTTGCTCGGGGTGTGTGTTTGGGGTGGGAGAGGGGAAGAGTGAGGTGTGCAGGGGCACGTTTTATTACACACACTTCAGTGCTCTTTGATTTTATGAAACTGCACTAATGTGTGTAACCTGATACATTTTAAAAGTTAATTTTTAAAAAATCGAAGATGGTGGGAAAATACTTAGTGAGTTTTGTGTACCTTTAAACAAATATATTCTTAACACCCCTTTTTAGGTGTCATTTTTCTCATAATGTTTTTTTCATATAATTATTTTTAGAGACAGGGCTTGCTATGTTGCCCGAGCTGGCCTCAAACTCCTGGGCTCAAGCGATCCTTCTGCCTCGGCCTCCTGGGTAGCAGGGACTACATGCACACACCACCATGCCCAGCTCCTAATTTTTCTTTGGAGGTGGTAGATGGGAATTTTCTTTCACCCAAGACAGGTTTGCAACTATTAATATGTTAGTGTTTTAGCATTTTTGCCTCAAAACATGTATTTTTCCAATTCTGTCCTGCCACGTTGCCAGATTTGCTCATTTGTGAGAGTTCTAATGAATTACCCGGTCTTGCCTCCAACCACAGATCATGATCCAAAGGCAAACTGGTCAAAAAGAAAATGTTTCCAACAAATCGCTCGATTATAACCTTTCTGGACATTCTGGTGATTCATACAAGTTGGGATGCACTTTTAGAAGCAGTTCTGCCCACCATGTTTTGCCTTCTAAGAGCACATTTCAGCCAGTGACAACCATGGCTACAAGCAGCTCTCCTGTGTCAAGGGCTGTGCTGAGCTAGAACGCTTATTCCTTATGACAGTCCTATGGGGTAGTGACTATTTGACAATATGGGGAAACTGAGGCTCAGGTCACAGAGCTGATGAGTGCAGAAGCTGGGGCTTAACCCCACTACTCTAAGGTTTTCACTGTCTCTTCCACACAGGCAGCTTCGAGAGTACCCGGCACTCAGAGGAAAGCTTTCCCAAAAGATTGCTCCGTTGGTGTTGGCTGGTTCTCGGGGCCGCCAGCCTGTGAACGGCAGGGGCGGGCTGTGTGTGTCTAGATCTGTCCCCACTCTTTGGGCACTCCAGTGACCACAGACTCTCCTCTGCCTCACCCTTGTGAATGTGCACATGTGATCAGGCCACGACAGTCCCTCTGGTTCACCCAATTCAGTGTTAAGGGCAAGAGCGAATCACTGGCCCAAGATGGCCAAACCGGTGACTGGAAATATTTCTTTTTGACCAATTTGCTTTGGATCCAAATCCGTGTTACCCTGCAGGGGGGATCTCCACCCCGGTGGAAACAGCAAAGGCTGCTTCTTCCCTTTTCAGTGGCTTCTCACACAGACCATCCGTATCGCTCCCTCCTCAAAAAAGCACTCTCAGCTTCTAGAACACCACACTTGCCTGGTTCTCCTCCTGTCTTCCGGCTCCCTGCCCAACCCTTACACGTGGGTCTTTCTCAGGGTTCTGTCCTTGTTCTCGAATCTTCTCCTTCTTCCAGAGGTCGCAAAATGGCGGCCCGGCAGCCTCATGAGACCCACAAGCAGATTTTGTTTGGTCCTCACAGTGTTTTTGTCTTTAATTTGAATGCCATTAGGCGGGGCAAGCACTCTCCAAGTTCGCCACAGTCCCCATCATTCCCTACTGTCTTACACCTGTCCGCTTCACACATTTCCATCACCTGCCTGGTCCCTGAAGCCATCGAGGTTTCAAAAACCCCTGTGACACAGGCTGCCTGGGAAATCTCACCCACTTTCACCTCTTCAGCTATCACCAATGTCTCCTACTCCATCATGCATATGTACGAGAGTCACCGAGCGAGCTTATTCAAAATGCAGACTCCCAGCCCCCCGTCCCCCAGATTTGATTCAAAGGTTCTAGGGCAGGGATCGGAAACTCAAATGCCTACAGGGGCCAGGCGGGTCACATAAATGAGTGAACTAGCCAGGTATAAGAAAAGTCAACGGCCAGAAATACAATTAAATCGTATCTTTACTGAACTATGGTGAATGCATGGAACATAATACAAACATGTATGATACTAGCGTTTATATTTTAAATTCAAAATTGAAAAAATACAAATCGAAAAATAGAAATATTTAATTATTAAAATTTTCTCTTTCATAATTCTTTTGCGCCTTTGAGTTGGAGCCAAAAGGCCGACATCTTCCCTTCCGCACCAAGATGTCAATATTAGGCCTTGGCTGGCACGGTGGGATGGGCAGTTTAGAATTCAACCTCGCATCCTTGAACTGGGAGCGGTATTTAATTTGATTCAGGTTTGTAACGGAAAACAGCTGTTCACAAGCATAGTACTTCCCAACACGGATATTCAGGACAACTACTAGAGACAGGTGTAAAATCTCGCCATCTTCAAACAGAATTGTATTTAGGAACCAGCGCCCTGCCGCACTGTGGTTCAGTGACTACTGTTCGTGGTCGGCATTCACACAATCGACATTAACCGACACAGGCAATCTGGACAGCATTAGTTCATTGTCATAAAGTCTGGATTCAGAGAGCCTTTGGGGGAACGTGGTCTTCAACCCCACAACTTGGGTGAATACAGCCCCGGCCACCTCTTTTGTTTCTGAAAACCAACTGCAGCAAAGAAAAAAAGAGTCAGATTTTGCCTTGCCGGTGGCCTCCCCGTTTTTGCCAGGACTGAGCAAATATGATCATACATTCAAGTCGCTGTTTGTGAACATCCTTGCGGAGAAATATTCAGTGTTCAGAAGGATCATAACCTCGACCAGAGTCTTTGACTAACCTTCTCAGGGGAACCGAGTGTGGCTTTTGCCTGATTTAAAACGAACCAAGTTGGCTAACTTTAACAGTTCAGATTTCCTCCACAACCAGCTCACAGAGCTTCTGTGACATACATTGGGTCAAGCCACCATGAACTTGCCCGTGGTTAAAGCACAGGACCCAAACGTCGAGGGCATCTACGATGTGTTCTACTTAATTTCTTAGAACAATTCAACTCCCGGTGATAGATGCCATGACCTGACCCCTGTGTCCTTGCCAAATGTTGCCACCTTGGATCAAAGAGTCCTGCCAGGTCCCCCTGGAATTACAACTATCCATAGTTGTGCTTAAGAATTCTGGCCGGTCTATGTGAAACTTTTCATTTCTCTCTATACACAAAAAAATAAGTCATTTCCCAGCATTGGGCCTGCCTTGGCACCATGTCACAGACTTCTTCGGTCACATCAAAATTCTCAACACCACAAATAAATAAAGCTAACTGGGTGGCAATAGTTCATGAGCAGCAATAGAAAAGGCCACAATTGATTTGACTTTCAAGCAACTGGACTTATTTATCTTCAACTCACTGTGCAACACAAATGCCCGGTGGACTTAAATAATGGTATAAACAGTCTGTCTCTGTTCAGGACATCCTGCTCCTTTATAAACTCGCCGTCTGATACAGGTTTTAATGCCCAGGTAATTCTTCTCGTGTGACTCTGGAACAGCGCGCTGCAGCCATGTGCCATTTCTGTCATCGCTTTCTAAAGCAAACACTACTGACATTTGAGTCCCTTTTTCAGTTCGTTGAGGATCGCGTCCCGAGTCTGTTCCGTATACTGGTCGTAGCTCTTACTGTGCTTTGATTTGTAATGACGTTTCAGGTTGTATTCTTTCAACACAGACACGATTTTTTTGCATATTAAACACGTAGGCATGCTCTTCACTTCCACAAAGAAATAGGCTCGCTCCCACTTTTCTCGAAACACGCGGCCCTCTCCTTCTCTCTTTCGTTTGGCCGCTTTTGATAGAGACATGGGTACAAGAAAGGTTTCACTTTCCTCTGAAAGCTACCAAGGGAACAACCACAGTGCAAGCCCGGTGACAAAGGCAGTGACCCTCTGCCTCACGGGGGAGACGGGGGAGCCAAGAGGGAGTGGTGGGGACTGTGGCGAACCGGAGAGCACACGCCCCACCGAAAGGGGCAGCTCCAGCCCGTTGTTGCCAGGCAGAAGGGCAGGCCCAGGGATGCCAAATCCTCTGACTTGCCAAGAGAAGCCAAGACTACAGATTTTGTGTGTGTGTGTGAGTGTGTGCGTGTGTGAGTGTGTGCGTGTGTGTGAATGATCCCGATTTTTACAACTAACTCGTAAGAAAAAAGTACCACATATGCTAACACAGGGAAGGCCAAACAAAACTCATCTGCAGAGTGGCCCACAGGCCACCAGATTGCAACCTCTCTCCTGGGGCGGGGCCCACGAACCTGCATGGTAACCAGCATCTGACACGACGTGGATGCCAGTGGTCCAGGCGTGGACCACACTCTGAGCAACACTGGTCCACATCCTACAACAGACAACTAACTGTCCACCTCCACGAGACCACCCTGCACTTCAGACACGTCTGCCGCTGAGGACACCCTTCAGGTCCCTCACCTCACCACATCCCAGCCCTGCTCCCTGCCAGGTCTTCTATCCCGAGGACGGCCCCCCTGTCCACCCGACCCAAAGCCCCAGGTCGGCCTCTGACCAGGACCCAGGGCCTGCCCTCTGTCCATATACAATCTCGTCCGCTTCTGGGCCTTCAACCACCAAACATACACTGTCCCCTAAGGGTATATCCTGAGCTCTTAACATGGCACCTGTCACCTGGATGACGCTAGGACCATTTGCACTCACTACCAGCTCCTTCTCCTAGGAGCCCCACCATCTACCATCGCCCAGGCCTGGCCCCAGGAGCCACCCTCAACCCCACCCGACTTAACCCCACTGCCTTCATGTGGCCCACCAGTGCCCAGCCTCACCCCTCCTGGCCTCCTTCCTTGCCTCGTCACACTCCAGCCCAGCGATGTCTTTCTGACACCCAGAGCCAGCCCAGGCCCACCCCGCCCACTCCTCACAGCCTCCTATGGCTCCTGTATCCCCAGGACAGACCTCTAGCTGCTCAGTTTGCAATCTGAGCCCCTCAAGTTCTGCCCATCGCTGTAGCTCCTCCCTCCCTCACGCTCCAGAAACATCCATCAACTTGCTCCTTTGAGCTGCCTATGCTTCCTCCTGCCTTTGCACACGCGCTTCTGCAGTTCCTTGTACTCGGATCGCCCTTTGCCTCCTTCCCGCCCAGCCTCACTGACAGCTGCTTCTCTTTCAAGACCCTGCGGAGCCCAGGCTGGGTGAGATGAGATGCCTCTTCCAGGCTCCCAAGGCGGCCCGTGCTACCTCCACGAGAGCACGTGTCCTGAATGCTACCTGCCTGCCTCTGCCGTCTCCCCCCGGACCAGGCTGCCAGACTGCCTCTGACTCACCGCTGAGGCCCCGGTGTCACCCACCCAGGGCCTCAGGGATGTCTGCTAAAGTGAGAACAAGAATAGAAATGTCTCCCCCAGGTCTCCTCCTGCCCAGTCCTGGGGGACGTCAGTGACGGGAGCCGGGGTGTGTGTTAAAAAGGAACTTTATTGGGTGTTGGGGGTTCAGATGAGATCCATGAGGATGTCGTCCTCCATGACGCTGGGCTGCAGGCCCGGCTGGGGGACCGGGCCCCGGGGACCCCCGCTCAGCAGCATCTGACCTGGGGGGCAGTGGGGAAGGGACTGCATCTCCCAGTAGTCCCTGGGGCCTTGGAGGCCCTGGGGGCACTCAGTTTTCTAGGAAGCCCTGGGGGACCCGTCAGAGGCGCCTTCTGACCCCATCTGGTTGCAGATACATTGTTTTCCATAAGCCTTTGGGAGCCCTTCCCCCACACTGCTTCTTGGCCCTAAGACCACATTTCCCAGCAACCCTAGGACACACGGGAGATCACGGGAAGAGCTCTTGACCCACTAGGTCCTTAGACCTGTGAGTTGTACTTCCCCGTAGCCCTCAGAGCCCCACAGGGGCTCTGGGGGGAGACCCAGGTTTCTGGATCCCAGGACTTCATTTCCCAGGAGCCCTTGGTCTTGGTGTTCTAGCCCAGGGGCTGCTGGGACACTCAGTCCAGACCTCTGCCCTCCCCTGGGCCCCCTTACCTGGCAGTGGAGCCCGAGAGGGAAGCTGTGCGGGCCAGGACTGGGCAGGCGGTGGATGCAGGAGAGGGGGCCCCAGCTGGGGCTGCCCCAGGCCCTGGTGCGGTGGGGGCAGCAGCGCAGGAGCCCCAGGGGGCTGGAGGTGGTGGAGGGAGGCCTGGGGCGGGGGGACCCCAGTCTGGGGCTGGGAGAACACAGAGGGTGGCTCAGAGGCTCCCGGTGGGCAGCTCCCCCACCCCCCTGCCATCCTGCCTCGGGCACAGATACTACCCAGAGAACGGGTCAGCCAGTGGTGTGGGAACGTCTTTCTTCAAAGGAATCTTGGCAGAAGCCCGTGTACAAGGATGGAGAGGAGGCAGTCTGCCTGGAGCCCTTGGCCGGGCTCCATTCACACCCACTGACCACAGCCAACCTCCCTCCTCCAAGATAAAAGGACCAGAACTGTCAGAACCAGGATCTGTAGCTCCTATCTGCCCACACCCAAATCTCACCGGTGGCGGGTTGAGGAGGAGGCTTCGCAGCTGGGGGTTGGCCCCAGGGTTCTGGGGCCGAAGGATGGGTCCAGGAGGGGGCTGGCCGGGGGCAGCTCCGGGAGGGCCTTGAGGGGCACCTGGGGGGGCCTGGGTAGTACCTTGGGGCTGGGGCTGCCCTGTGGCCCCAGAGGCCCCCACGGTGCCCTGAGGCTGGGGCTGCGGTGGGCGAAGCTGCAGCTGGTGGGAAGAGAGGCAGAGGTAAGGGAGAAGGGCAGGGCCTCCACACCCCCATGTGGGCATAAAGGGCAGCCTCTGGGACCTCCCCTGCCCTGTCCCTGACCCCACCAGCTCTGTCCTCACCAGATTCTGTGAGGGCCTCGCTTGGTCCTCCAGAATGGGGCCTAGCCCTGGGGGTGCCTGCTGTCCCCCCATCTGCATGGAAAGAGAGGGAACAGGTCAGTAATGGGCGTGGGGTGCAGGGGGGTGGTGTCCTGAATCTCATTCGGGAGGATCTTGAGCCCTGAAGGGAGCGTGTAGGAGTTGGGAACATTTTGTCCGGGAACGAGCAGTCTGGGAAGGAGATTTACACTCCCAGGTCCCCAGGAGGCAGCCATGTGTCAGAGATTTCAAGTGGGTACTGAAAAGGGAAAGTACGTTGCAATAACATACGGGGTGGGACTAAACTCAGGGGTGGCTGCATCTTGGGAGAAGAGTAAACGCCTGGAGACCCAGGAGGGCCACTGCGGGGCTTGGCTGTCTGAGCTCTGGGGCCCGGGCTGGAAGGGGACACCGGGTTGGGGAGGGGCTGTGATCACTCACCCCTCGCTGTTGCTCCAGCTTCTGCTGCTGGACCTGCTTGTGGTTGGTGATGACCTGCCGGATGCCATTGACGAAGCCGCTCTGGTCATAGGGGATGAGGCCCATGAAGATCTTCTTCTTGGACGAGTACAGGAGCATGAGCACGCGCACCTCGCAGGGGGCCGTGTGGGGGAAGTGCACGCAGCCCGCCTGGGGGACAGAGGGTCTTCAGAACCACTGATGCCCTGGAGGAGGTGGCGTCCCACCCCTCCACATTCTAGAAGGTTCTAGAAGCCCCACAGGTAAGGGGAGGCGAGGTTTCTGCTATGAAAGGTTGAGGAAACCAGAGAGCCCGAAGGAAGGGAAATACACGACTGACGCCACTCTTCCCCTTATCCTTCATCACAGCACACAGGACGCCTGGAGCCTTGAGAGCTACTTTGTGACCATGAGGAAGAGGCCAAGAGAACGACAGGGGCCCTGGCCCTGACACCAAGGAGCTATTAATAAAAACCCAATCGCTGCCTACTTCTGGGACACCCCGTTATATGTAAAAAATAAATGCCTGCTGCTACAGTGCTTGCTCTTGGGACATTGCCTCTCGCAACCCAGCGGCCATGTTATGAGGAAGCCCAAGGGCAGGCCACGGGCAGGCCACATGCAGACAGTCAGACTGACAGTCCCCAGCTGAGCCCCCACTGACAGCCAGTACCAGGTGAGTCGGCCATTCTGAACATCCAGCCCAGTCGAGCTTTCAGATGACCACAGTTTCAGCTGCCATCTGATGGTAGCCCCATGAGCGTACCCGAGTCAGAATGGCCCACTGAGTCCAGCTGACCCACAGAAGTGTGAGAGAACATTGTTTATCGGCCGCCCCACCCTAATTATCTATTTTTTCTGAAAACTCTGCTGGATGGCTTTGTGTTACTTGGTGCTGAAAGCATTCCTAACCCTCCGGAGCACCTTCCTCATCGAGTTTCTGCGAGATACACGCGCAGTAACCCACCTAGAGCCCTGGCTCCTGGAAAAGTGCTTGGTACACGGACAATACCTGGGTCTGCTCCTACTTAGAGAAGCCCTTCCCCGGTGTTACGAGTTGAATTGGTCTTCCAAAAAGAGATGTTAAAGTTCCAATCCCCCAGCACCTGTGACGGTGGCCTTATTTGAAAAGAGGGCCTTTGCAGATGTAATAAGATGAGGTCATTAGAGTGGACTGATCCAAAGTAACTGGTGTCCCACAGACACGTGCAGACACACCGCCGTGTGCAGACAGACACGAGGCACGTGAAGACGAAGGCAGAGCCCGGAGCGGTGCTGCCGGCAGCCTGGGGCCCTGACACCCTGACCTCCGACTTCTGGCCTCCAGAACTGTGACAGAATCCATTTCAGTGGGTTGAAGCTCCCTAGTTTGTGGCAGTGCGTTACACGTCAGAATCAGTAGCTTCCTCCTAATTTAATTGCTCCTGTCACACCCGGGTCACACTTTTAATGTGGAATGTACCTCGATCTGGGGCATATTATAACGGTAATAAAAGTTAAGGCTTTAGAAGAAAGATGGGGAGCCCAGGCTTGCAAAGGCCACCCAACCATCAAGAACGGCTCCCTCGCGCCCAGGCACTTCCCATCACAGCACAGAGGAAGGGAGGACAGAAGAGTCGGCGCCCCTGGGCCCACCCGGCCCTGCCCAGGACTCACAAAGCCGTTGCCCATGATGCGGTAGAGGCCTTTGAGAGACTCCAGGTCCTTGTTGGTGAAATGGAACTGGACCATCCTCGAGTTCCGGAACAAAGGGCCCAGAGTGGTCTGGGGGAGACATGGAAGTCGACCGGCGTGTGGGGAAGTGAGGAGGGGACACAAAGGCAGGGAGAAGGGCAGGGCAGGTAGGAGAACAGGGTGAGAGGTGCCTGGCAGGGTGGGGGCCCCGACTGCCACTCACCAGCAGCTGCTGGGGGATGAGCTGCATGATCAGCTTCTGGGGCCACTGCTCCGTCTTCCTGGGGGGGCGACGCCAGAAGAGGTATCAGGAGGGGCAACCCCAGCCCTGCCCCACCCCACCCCCGACAGCCACCTACAGATTCTCTCCATGATTCACATAGACCTGGCAGGGCAGTGACCGTGTCAGCTTGGTGTTTGCGTCCACTGAGGCAGGTTTAGGTTTCTGGGGGGGAAGATGGGCATGTCAGAGTGAGAAGGGCCTTATGCCTCAGGTCTCTGACCCCTCTTGTCCCTCCTTGGTAGCCCCAAAGCTCAGGATGTCCAGGGTGTTTCATGAGCCCTGGGCTCCTCCTCCAGACCACTAATCCCATACTCCGCTAGCCTTCAAATTCTACAAATGTTGGGGCTTCTCCTCTGACCCCTAAATCCCACAATCTACTGTTCCTCAGATGCCACAATCCCCTGGGCCCCTGTCTGTACCCTAAATCTAGGCTTTTCTGGGCTCTTCACCTGCAACACAATTCTTAATATCCCCCTAGTCCTGAACTGCATGGTTCCTTAGGACTCGCCTCTGGACTACAAGTCCCACGACCCCATGGGGCCCCTGGCCTGGCCCTGAATCCTACATGTCCCACGAAACCCAGCACTCTGAGTCCCGCAGGCCTGGCCCTCAGTCCACGTGCCCAGTGCATCCTCAAGCCCACTCACCTCCTGCCACTCGAGGACTCCACTCCAGGCCAGAAGTTTGTTGGAGACTGACTGCTGCCCACCAAGGGCTGGGGCCCCTAGCTGGGCTGGAGAAGGGCCGCTCACCCCTCCCGGGGCCACTGTGCCCGCCTGCCAGAGGGGAGGAAGGAGGGCAATGAGGGTGGGAACAGACGTCCTGTTAGAGGGGCAGACCAGGAAAGATCCCTTCCTCTGCATCCGCAGCCCCAGAATAGGGTCTCGGCATCCCTGACACGCTAAACGCTCTGCCTCTGCAGCATTTGAGGACTTGTGAGGCCCTGATGCCTTGGACTCCCAGGTCTGCGGATGCCAGGATCCCCTGGGTTCTCCAGAACAGCTCCGACCCACGTGGAGCCACGAGCCTCAAGATTCTAACCCCAGACCCGCTCATCTCGGAGTCGTCTGTAACACACGTGCCACGAGCCCGGAGGACCCAGAACCACAAGGCCCACACCCCTCGGGCACTGCTCAGGAAGACAAATACCCTCTCACTGTGCCAGCCCGGGCAGCTGGGAGGAAGGAGCGGGGCGGGAGGTGTGCAGGCACCTACCATGGACGGTGCCCCGGGCTGCGCAGAGGGGGCCAGGCCCGGGCCGGGGGCCACAGTGGAGACCAGGCTGGGCTGGGAAGCAGGAGGTGGCTTGGGGGCACCAGGGGGTCCTGGGGGTAACGGAGGGGCTGAGGCCTGGCTGAAGGGGGCACCCACTCCGGGAGCGGCTTGCTGGAGAGGGGTGATGGGCGAGACTGTGGGAGAGATCAAGGAAGAAGTGGGGAACGGGTGTGCAGAGGGGGGCCTGCCCACCCTCCCACCCTGCATCCTCACCCCCAGACTCACAGCGTGGGCCCAGCCCAGCCTTCTGGTTCTTGGCAGCCTCCACTGCATTCTGGGCGGCCACCTGAGCCGCGCTCAGGTTCCCAGGGACCTGGGTTAGAGCGGGGGGGGGGACTGGTGAGGACCATGCGTCCCGACAAGGCCACACCACCCGGGCCCCACAGCGCACAGCCACTCCAGCTGGGATAGCTCAGGAGCTCACAACCCCAGAGATGTGACTCCATGGCTCCAAGAGTCCCATCCTTCTGATGTCCCAGTGGGGACTCCCATCACCCCACAAGCCCCTATATTCAACGAGATCTCTTCCAAGGGGCCATGGTTCCTGCAAGGCCACAGAAGCATGTCCGTACCTGGTACTGTGGGGGGACAGGGGGCAGAGGCTGCTGGGGGGCTGCTGAGAGAGTGGCTCCCGAGGGTGCGGTGGGAGGCAGGGGCACCGGCTGCTTTGGCTGGAGGGGGCCTGAGGCCGAGCCACCCCCAACTGAGAGCAGGATGGATGACCGCACCATGTGAGAAGGGGTTCCAGGCGAAGACAGGGGAGAGAAATCCGAAATCCAAGTCAGACGGAGCTGGGGAACCCAGCCCCCGCCCGAGCCTCCCGCGCCCACCGGCGCCTGGGCCTCACCAGGCAGGACGAGCCCCCGCACCAGCACCATGTGCCGCGGGTCCTGGCTCACATCTGCCGGGGGCTGCAGCGGCTCCAGCAAGGCCGGGGGAGCCGCCTTCTCGAACAGAAGCCGCAGGGCAGGAAGCTTCCGGGGAGACACGATGGAGAAGTGGATCCCTCGCTGCAGGGGAGAGGACAGGCGGTCAGGATGGGGCGCCACCATAGGGATGCTGGGGCTGGCCCCCAGGCGACCACAGTTGCTGTGTGTGCAGGTGGACGGCCCCAGCCCTATGACCACAATTCCCATCAAGCTTTGGGGCGGGGACTGTGGGACCTGGGTTATAGCTGTCCCAGGGGACTCCGGGTTATAGTTCTTTCAACGAGAGTAAGCAGAGTTGGCCGTGGGTCCGTGACTATTCTGACCCAGGAGTCTGGGCCCAGCCCTTCCGCCCCCAGCCCCTCCTCCCTCAGACCTGGGGTCCTCACCTCCCCAATCTTTTGCACAAGACTCTCGGTCGTGTACCCGGAGTACGTGGTGCTCTCGACAGCAGGCAACAGGTACGGGGGCGAGTTGCAGATGAGGAGGCAGACTCGGTGCGTCTGGCCGCTGCCAGAGACGAGAAGAGATAAGCAGCGGGCACCGACAGGGCCCCTGCGGAGGGACCCGGAAGCCGTCCCGGCAGAGGTGCGAGCACGCGGCCCACATGGAGTCAGGAGCAACGCCCCATTTTACAGGCCAACATAGAGACTGGAGAGGTTCCGAGACTGGCTCTAAGTCTCCCAGCAGGCAGCAGCAGCAGGAGGGAGACCCAGAGCGGCCCTTCCCAGCGAGGATACCGACACCAGGCACCGGCCCAGCCTCACCCGAGGACGCGCCTCTGGCCTCCCAGCTCAGAGTTCTCAGGAACACAGAGCCACCCCCTCCACAGTGTGAGGCATAAAGTGGGGTCAGAAAGAGAGGGACACAGACCCAGACGGAGGAGGCACTCACATCTGCTCCCGCATCTTCTTGAAATCGTCGAACAGCTGCAAGGCAGTGCTGAGGCCTTCTGCGATGAGGCTGCAGCTCTCGCCGCCGCCGCCCATGAACCTGCAGGGCGCCAGGTGGTCAGCTCCCAGGGAGCCCCAGGGCTGCCACTGTTCACTCACACACACACACACACACACACACACACACACACACACACGCGCGCTCTTGCAGAGCCTGCTCCTGTGCTGTCCCTCATCTTGCACTGGGACTATGTACCTTGGGACAATGGGACACTGTTGAGTTCCCGGCTCTATCTCTGGTGCTGGCACCAGACCAGAGAGGACAGGGGACATTTGCTGTGTTAATCATGAGGCCTGGGAGGGAAGGGGAAAGCGCCTGGGACACCAAGCCTAAGATCCTGCGCTGTGTCCCAACCCTGGTGGGACTGACTCCTTCCTTGTCCACCTCCTGCCGTCCCTCCCCTACTCTGGGACATCTGGTCCAACTTTAAAATCAGCCCTGGCCTCACTGCACCTTCCGTGCCAGAAACAGGGGCCACCTCTGTCCTCCCACAGTGTCATGGGTTGAAATGTGTCCCCACTAGAAAGACAGGATGAGCGCCTAATCTTATATGGAAATAGGATCTTTACATAGGTAATCGAGCTGAATTAGGGGGCCCTAACCCAGTAAGACGGGTGTCTCTATAAAAAGGAGAAATCTGGACACAGACACACAGAGGGAAGATATGGAGACACAGGAAGAAGACCGTGGAAGACTGGGGTGATGCAGGACAAGCCAGGAATGTCCGGGGCCGCCAGCAGCTGGAAGAGGCCCCTACAGCGTTCCCAGGAAGCACCTCCCGGCCACCTTGACTTTGGACTTCTAGCCTCCAGAACGCGGAGACAATACATTCCTGTTCTTCTAACCCACTGTCTGCGACTTTGCTAGGGCAGCCCTAGGAAACCGACACACAGGGACACTGGAGCCTCCCCTCCGCCTGATCCACAGCAAGTCACCAGCACCCGTCCCTGTGTGGGGTGTGGCTCGGCGAAGGCCTTTACTCAAGCGCAGCTGTTGCTGCCACGATTCTTCAGGTCACGTGGGCATGAGGCTGACCCTTGCGGCAGCAGGGGACACATGTGGAAACCTGAGGGACCCATCTCCCCGAACTGTGGTCTCTGAGTCCATGTCTGCGGCAGACTGAGTCCCCTCTCGTGCCCAGCCTTGCCACCACGGTCTGGCACATGGAAGGCCTTAGGAAATGTATGTTGAATGAATAACTGGCTACAAACCCAACCGTGTCCATCAAACCCAAGCCCTTAGCTGGGCACCTGGTCCCCAGGTCCTGCCCCCTAACCCACACCCTCTGTCCAAGTGTCCTCCAGAACGTCTCACGTGTCCCATCTCACATACCCCTGGCCTCGTGTACCTGGCTGCACCTCCAGGTCTCTGCACGTGCTGTTCCCCCACCCCCATTCCAGCCCAGATGGAACTGCAGCTATCCTGTGCCGCCCGGCCCGGCGTGCCCTCCTCCAGGAAGCCCTCCCCATCTGCCACCTGATTTTAGGGCCCGCCATTGATCACATCACAGGTCACCCCAAACTGCGGCTGTCAAGCTTCCCTCCACAGCCCCCCTTCCCCCTCACAGCCTGTGCAGCCCTCAGTGACAGAGACAACGCTTGCTGACCATCTCCACGACGTGCCGGCTCACACAAGGCCTCGGGAATCGCACGCCAGCAGCCTGGCAGTGCCGATGCAGCTGCGACCCTGCTCCCCACGTGAGATCATGCACTTTCCTTCCGGTTCCACTCAGGCACCCCGAGCCTTGGGCACTCAGCCCACACCGCTGCTACTCCTTACCCACACCACTCCTCAGCCCTCCTCTTCCTCACCATCGAGACGATTTGGCAAAGGACTTTTAAGGCCACAGAGTCGGGAGGAACCCCACTGAATGAACCAGGCCTGGACCCAGCCTGCCACACCAGCGTCCTGCTATGGATGACATCGTGGGCTTCTCTGAGACTCCAGCCAAGGGCACCCTGGCTAGGGCTGGGGGAATGGGGAGCAACTGTGGCCTGCTTACAGGTCTCCTCTGGGAGAGCGAACGTTTTGAAATGAGACAGAGGCGTGGCTGCGCAACATTGTGCGTG